CAGCAATCCTTAGCTCTAGCCCGCATCACCCATGATTTTCAAACTGGGTTTCTATCCCTGAGAGTATAGTACTTTGTTTTGCACAGACACAGTAGCATATTTTTTTGATGGAGTGATATTTTGTGTCATGGGCTCCAATATCAGGTGAATTTACTGTCCCCAAAGCACCTATATATCTTTTTTTTTTTTTACATTAGTTCAGCTTCTTGTTTCTTTGTACCGAGAAAAGTTAAATTTTTGAATAGTAGGCTTAGTGCAGTCTTGCTTTAAGTGTGGTCTATCATCAACAGCACCAAGATTAATGAGTTTGCTTATTAAAATATAAATTCTCCCAAACCTCAAGCCAGCACTATTGAATTTGAATCACAAAAGAGTTGAAATTGTACAGAAAATCAGCATTTTAAACATGTTCTCCACCTGTTTCTAGTATATACCAATGTTTGAGAATCACAGCATTATGGAATATTTTTATACAAAAAAATGATCACACTTATTTAGAGCACTAAAGTATCAGCCAACTTGTGTAATTTCTGGTATTAAGAGGACTGATGATTGATAAACTTATAAAACTGGGTCAATAAACAGTATTTTATATGCCAAATGGGCTATCTTTCTTTTCATAGTCCTGAAAGCTTAGAACAGTTTTGTCTGTTTTTTTTCCTACGGACTAATTGTTAAATTGTTTCTGTGTCTTTCTGTATCCAAAGAATTCAAAATGGTGACCATGTCGAATTTACATAAAAATATAATCAGATCTGTTGTAGAGTCATTTTTCAGGTTTTTTTCACTGTGGGTTGTCAAATTCTTAAGACAATCGTATCATTTTCATTGTATGAGATGTAATAAGTTGCTCCTCATCCTTACATTCTCAGAATAGTTTAGGGACTACAGTATGATGTCATCATCCAAATTGGTGTTGATCTACCATGGCAAAGTTGGAAAAATTATTTTGTTTATTATACAAATCAGATTATGATTTTATCATAATTGTACTACACATTTGCAAGTAGAATCTACATTATTTACACCTTTGACGTCTACTGGTCTCAAAGACATCATTTTCAACTAGCATGAGATCGACTAGTGATATTTTATTGGTGGGGAAAACAAATGTTCATGCGGTATATTTTTGCAGTTTGGTTAGGATATTGTGATAAAGACAGATATAGTCTATTTACATATGTTATATATTGCCATTCTAAGATATTTTAAAGGGAAGTAGGGGTGCCGAGGTGGCTCAGTGGTTAAGCGTCTGTGTTTGGCTCACATCATGATCCCAAGGGTCCTGGGATCAAGCCCCACACTGGGTTCCCTGCTCAGCGGGAAGCCTGCTTCTCCCTCTCCCATTCCCGCTGCTTGTGTTCCCTCTCTTGCTGTCTCTCTCTGTAAAATAAATAAAATCTTAAAAAAAAAAAATAAAGGGAAGTAATCAATAGCTAAGTGAATCTATTTAAGTGAACCTGAGAAAAAAATCAAGGTGCCTCTATAAATATCTCTCAAATAAGCATCCGGATGGAGTTGTCATCCTTTCTTGTGTAACAGCATAATAGTTAACACTATTTTTAAAAATGCTTTATGTAAGTTATGTCACATATTTTTCATGATGACTCTATGAAATGTGTACTATTTCTATCTCCATTTTATACATGGGGAAACTGAGGCTCAGAGACATTAAGTAAATGTGTCAGTTGGTTTATTTTTTCACTGTTCAGCTTAGTGAATGACTTTTCCCTAATCAGATTGTAAACTAATAGAAGAATTATTCTATAGATGATCACTGATGATTTGTATTGGCAGTTTTAATGTTACATTAAATACATAGAAGTGCACACTTTTTCTACACAAGAAAATTGTACAAATACATCCCAGAAAAAAGTTAGTAAAAAAACGTCTTTCTGGTCATGTTTTACAGGAACACTGATCATACAGTATGAATTTATTTTTTAATGATTTACTGACTGATTCTTCTGAACATGTAACAAATACATATAAAGAATTCCTGTAATGTACCAGACAATGTTTTACGCATTTAGATATACACCAGTGAACAACAGTCTTTCCCTCAAGGATTTTATATTCTAAAGAGGCAGTGATCAGTGAAGGCAGATATTAATGATACACATAATTAATTATATCTGTTGCATGTTACAAAATTATAAAAACTATAAAAAGGAAGAAAAGCACAGCAGGGCATACTGAATTAGGAATACTGTGGGTGGGAGGTGACATTGAAATTTTAAATTAGAGTCCTCCAGAAGGTGCCACTGATGGTGAACACTGAGCAAAGACTTGAAACAGGCTTGGAGAAAAAGGTTCTATGAAAATGTTAAATGTCTGGTCCTATCAAAACTAATAAGGCATATTTAAATATATTTAAATACTACCACCTCTCTATCTCATAAATTCTTATATGCATTGCCTCTCACAATTTAACCTCTCTAAAATAAGAATACATGTTACCAAAGTTTGTCGTTTATAAGATTACAATTCCTAATTGGATAAGGGGCTGACATAACATGGTTGTGTGAAAAATTCTGTTGATTGCGGTAACAATAAGAGCGAGCCAGGGATGCCTGGGTGGCTCAGTAGGTTAAGCATCTGCCTTCCACTCAGGTCATGATCCCGGCGTCCTGGGATGGAGCCATATTGAGCTCCCCGTTCCGTGGGAAGCCTAAGCCTGCTTCTCCCTCTCACTCTGCCTGCCACTCCCCCTGCTTGTGTGTGCTCTCCCTCCCACTCTCTCTGTCAAATAAATAAATAAAATCTTAAAAAAAAAAGCCAGCATGAGAGTATCTTAGAGTCCCTAAAATATGGGTGTTTCAATCCAATATATGTGAGTTGATGTCATAGCTCAGTAGTTCAGTAAAGAAGTTTTGGATCTAGATCTAAGGGTTTGCACTCTGGCTTAGCCATTTATTTGTTGTATGATAACTGCTGAGTTATTTAACCTCTCTGTACTTATCTCCTTATTAGTAAAAAGAGGTAATAATGGTATTTATGTCACAACATTGTTATGAAGACTACAATACATATAAATTCAAAGCCCTTTAAAGTCTCTGGCACATAGTAAGTGCTTTACATGTGCTGGCTGAACTCACCCTCTCTCACAACCTGGAAAATAAAATCTTGCATCCAGCAAATTAGAATTATGATTTTCCTCGGAATATTTTCACTTCAATGGAAGCATCATTTCATATAATTATCTTTTTCTACTTGGGGAAATTTACAGAGGACTTTTTATTTTCTATAATTGTTTTGTAAAGTTTTGGTCAGTACTTTAAAGTTTTATGTTCATGAACATACTCTTAAATTGATTGTTTTTTGAGGAGAAGATTGGGTCTGTATCATCTATGGCCTGAAGGATGCAAAATTTTTAATGAAGGTAGTATTTATGGGGAGTAAAATATTTTATGAATGGAAAACAAATAGCTAGCTGAAAATAAATGGACATTAAAGTGACTACAAAATAAGGTATCTGAGACAAGATACCAAGGTAAGTTAGCTATCGAACTTTTTTTCATGAACTAAATGCTAACATGTTTCTTTTAAATAATTCAATCCAAAATATATAAAGCGATTAAAATAAATCAGAGACTTCTGCATTTCTTATTCACTTAGGTATCTTTCCTGTGATTCTAAAAATGCATGAATCACTTGGCCAATGTTGACAGACATTCCATTAAGAAGTCTTGGTATTCATGATAGGTATTTATATCTAGATTTAAAAAACCTATGACAAGAAAAATATTATTTCCATTAGAACATGCCTGTTTAATAAATCATTTTTTATTTTATCATATAATTATTTATTGGGGGGGACAGGCTCAGAGAAATTGAGAAATGACTTAGTCACATTAAAGGAAATCAAGTATTCCTATCAGGAAATTTATAAACTTCATATAATAATACCATGTTATGAAATTATGCCATAGTTTAGGATTATAATATTCTATATATTTCAAATGAATGCAACTTTATTTATAATCTCAAGTGAAGCACAGTATCTAGAACAAAAAATGGTTACTTTTAATCTTAAGTATTAATACGTATCTTTGACTAATGGTGAAAATATTACTTTTATTTCTCTAACATTTAGGGTAGGAATTCCTAGTCAGAAAATAAAACTAAAAGGCAACTAGTAGCAAGAATCAGCAGTGAATACAAAATGTTTACAATGCTTTTGCTTTTAAAATATTTCCAGGAAACTGGGGCACCTGGGTGGCTCAGTCAGTTAAGTCTTCCTTGTGCTCAGGTCATGATCCCAGGGTCCTGAGATTGAGCCCCACATTGGGCTTCCTGCTCAGTGGGGAGCCTGCTTCTGCCTCTCCCTCTGCCTACTGCTTGCCTACTTGTGCTCCCTCCCTCTCTCTCTCTGTCAAATAAATAAATAAATAAAAGAATCTTTAAAAAAATATTTCCAGGAAACCATGCTGCCAACCTGTCCACAACAATGGACAACTGTAATCCTCAGGATGCCTTTCATTATTTCTTAAATATCACAGAGTGTGATTTCTCTGACAACTCATAAAAATAGAGTAAAAAGTAAAAGTCTCATAGGTGTTAGTACTTGTAGGGATTTGTGTCTCCTTCCTTACATCGTTTTCTCCACGTAAGTAAGGAAATGGGTAGAATTTTTTTGCCCGCATAAAATGCCATATATTATATCCATAAAACAATGCAAGTTCTGTGTTTGTAATGTCTGTCTCAGTCTATGAAAATCCGATTCGAAAATTATCAAATTGCAAATTGAGATGTTTTAACTTTTTAAAGTATCCTCACAGGTTTTCTTTAGACAATTCTTTTTCAACATTCACATTAGAACTCATTTTCTCTCACTTCTTTGACCCCCACCTCAGTCATTTTTCATGTAAATGTTCATGGACATAATGGATTTTATCAACCAATATAGATTTCAGCAGCTAATACAAGCAGACATAAAACTTAAAAATTTGAGTTGATTCTATGTGGTGTACCTCACTAATAACAAAATGAACACTGACCGACACGCAGAACCAGGATGACGTCTGACATGTAAATCCGACAGACGACGTTGGATTTGCGGCTCTGACGGTGTCAGATGCACGGCTCTAACAGTCGTAAGTGCGGGTCGGATGGATGACGTGAGACGCGCGGAACTAACGAACCATGTCGTGAGTGCGGGTCTGACCTACGACGTCAGAAGCGCGGGTCCGGAACACACAGCGTTGTAAGTGAGGATGTGACTGACAGAAGACGTGGACTGAGCGCGTCCAGGAGGTGACCTGCCGAAGGTCAGTCCGAGAGACAGCTCATGGAGGGCAGAGCAAAGACAGCACTGGCGGAGCACACACTATGCAAAGAACGCCATAATCTAAGGAACTAACCTCATGGACCCCTGTCTGGAGTAAGGTGAGGGTACTTGTATGGGGTGTGGGAGCCACTAAAAGTTGTCTGAGCCCACAGAGTGGCAGCGAATGGGGCCTATGGAAGGAAACACGAAGAGCTGCCTTTTTGGCAACCAGCGGCCTGTGAATGTGGCTTGGAAGAGGGGCCTCTAGAAGCTACTAGCCATTTTAGGTCTTTGAGAGCTGAAGAGGGTTAAAGTACCAGCCACACCCAGAGGGACGGATAGAGGGAGGGAAAAAGGAAGCAGGGTGGAGGGGGTGGAGGGAAGGAAGATAAGGGGGTAGAGAGGGAGAGAGGAAAGGAAGATCTATTGTAAACCAAAGGAGGATGAAGAGTACCCAGCAGAATAATGTTGCGGTGGATGAAAGGAAACTCATGCCATGCAGTTGTCTCTGGGCTTAAGGAACTGAACGATGCACGGTCTGTATGCATAATGATCTTATGGAAGAGACACAAGGTTCAAGGGTGAAATAAGAAGACAATAGAAGATGAAAAATGAGTGGTGCTCAAGAAAGAGGAGGAAGAAAAACATTAAAACAAAAAGTGAGGTCAGGGGCACCTGGGTGGCTCAGGTTGGTTAAGCGTGTGACTCTTGATTTCAGCTCAGGTCTTGATCTCAGGGTCGTGGGTTCCGCACTGGGTGTGGAGCCTACTTAAAAAAAAAAAAAAAGAAAGAAAGAAAGAAAGAAAAAATGAGCTCATATTAACTACAGGAAGAGGGGGAAGGATATGTATGAAAACAAAGCAACAGGGGGAATGTGTTTGAAAAGTTAACTGAACAAAAATAATTTTAAGAAGAATAAAATAAAAATAATTGATGTGGAAGCAAAAGGAGATACAAGATATTAAGTTTGTGTCCTTAAAGAAGAGAAAATAAATGAAGTAAAATACCCAGAGAGATAACTTAAGAGAGCTTTCCTGAAATCAAGGAAGTGTGGATCCACATATTGAAAGGTTGTAGTATATTCCAGAGATAGTCAGTATGGGTTTAACAATCTCAAGATGTGTCCTAACTTTATGAGCCTTTGAAGAATAAGAAACACTCCTCTAAACCTCAGGCAATAATAATAACAGCAAAAATAACAACAGCAAATATTAAGGGGAAAATTCAGATACCTTCAGACTTTGCCAAACAAAATGAAACATTTGAAATGTAGCCATTGTGTCTGAATGGAAATAAGTGCAGGAAAGAGAGAGCGATGTGGGGTAAATTAAGAGGCAAGCAGGATCCAGATCATATTGAGATTTTAAGTTATAATATGCGATTTAGATTTTAATTCTAAGTGCAGTGAAAAGGATTTGGGAGATCCTGTTGCAGTGATCTAGGTGAGAGATAGTAGTGATGGGGACTAGGGTGAAGGCAAGAGCTATGGAGAGAAATGGTTGGATTCAGGACATGTTTTGGCAGTAGAAGCAACAGGACTTGCTTACTGTGGGTGTGGCAATATGGAGAGCAGGGTAAGAGAAAGCATGGGAGCGAGCAGGTTTTTGAATTGAGTGGCTAGGTTGTCATAGTGCCATTTAACTGAGATGCAGAGTCTGGAGAAGGAACAGTGTTAAGGGTAAAGAGTTTGGTTTTGGACATGTTAAACTTGAGAAGTTAGGAGTTAAGATAATTAATAGCTGATATTCTCCTACGAACCTGTTAATGACAAGGGACGTTTTTCTAAACAACAGATATGACTCAGTATACATAAGTGAGATGGATGGAGTTTCCTACTAGAAATCATGGTTTTATATTGAGTAGGCCCTGTTAGTGGGAAATTCAGGAAAGAGACCAGTCTGAAACAAAACAGATGTATGAGTTGTTGGAAGGAAACCATTGCTTTGACAACATGGTGGTCCCTGGTGACTTTGACAAGAGTAGTTTCGATAGTGAAGTGGGCACTTGGCTGAAGAAGGTAAAGGGGAGCACAGGAGATCAGGATGCAGAGGTGGTCATCATAGTTTGATCAAGCAGAGATAAGAAGTGGGGTGGTAGCTAGAGAGAGATGAGGGATCAAAGAGAGTCTTATCATTTTTAAAGATGGTGCATATTGAGGCATATTTATATACTAGTAGGACTGATCCAGTGTAGAAGGAGAAGTTGATAGTGTAATAGAGGAAAGAGTTACTAGAGAGGGGCTTTTGAAAGGCAGGAAGAGGTGAGATGCAGGGTTCAAGTGAGAGATTGGATTCCGATAGGGGAAGGGACACATCAAACATTGCACCAAGAAGCAACCTGGACATGGGTGCACAGGTAGGTAAGTTGAAGATTTGGTGGTAAGAAGCTGAGGAAACTATTATCTACTGCTTCTGTTTTCTCCATGAAATATGAGTCCAGTTTGTGAGCTGAGAATGGGAGAAGGGAGGGGATATGAGAAGCTTGAAGAGTGAAGCAAAAGTGTGAAATCTTTGTTTCTGAGAATAGAAATGAAGTTTACTTGGGAAGCTCAGTGGTGCAATTTGAGATCTGAAGACTTGAATTTACACTGAGACCAGTCAGCACAATGTGTGCTTTTCTTGTAGGTACACACAACTCCGGGGGCAGGTGCGGGTTAAGTTGGGTTTAAATTTAGTTGGTTTTGCCTAGTGAATACAATGGAATGAAAGGAAGCAAGGGAGTTAATGATGGTTGAGAAGATGAGCCAGGAGGATTGAGGGCGCAAGAGAAATAATGGACAGTGAGAACATGGTAGACCTGATGTTTTCATAGGGACAGGGTCAAAGAAATTCTGAACAAAGGTTACTATATCATATGTGAATGATCAGAAAGTGGAATAATTGCAAACAAGATGTTGGAGGTAGAGTAGTTATTAAGATGGCAAGATCTCAGGAGGTGGAGTGAGGGTAAATGTCACTGGAGGGGATGATGTCAAGGAATGAAAACCAAGGAATAGAAAGGGCCATCCATGTTTCACTTGCAGTATGTTCCCAAACAGACAAAACTCAGGTATGGTGTTAGATGTCAAGATAGTGGTTATTTGGGGGAAGAAGGAAGGACAATGACTGGGAGGGGCACATGGGGAGTTTTCTGGGAGCTGGTGTTCTGTGTCTTGATTCAGGTGCTGGTTGTGTTCACTTTGTGAAAGTTCATTAAGCTGTTACTTTATGATTTGTGCACTTTCTTCTATATTTATTATAATTCAGTACAGAATTAAAAATATAAACAAAGAATGAAAAAAATTATAAAATCAAGTTTCATCAAAGGTACAGATCACCTTCAATAGAAACTGTTGTTTTCTTTCCATGCATTTTTGGATAAAGTGCTAATATAAACTTTAAAAGTACTTACTCAAAAATTAAATTAGCTAAAAATGTTTAAGATGAATAAAATAAATGAAATATTAGAGAGGTACTTTAAAAAATTCAGGGGAGGAACATTTTTAAAAAATATAAATTGTAGTGAGTCTTACTGGCTTTTCTGTAGACCAGTAATATGTTTAAGCAGTAGACTAAAATTCTTGAGAAAAATCTGAAGGAACTGAGAAGGATATGTGAAAACTCACAGAGAATTATTACTTGCCTTGAAATAAGAACCTATGAGGAAAAATTACCTATTTTGATTATGCCAGATGGACTATTTGGGAGGTAAATTCTGAATACATATATGATAAAAAGACATGATAGAAAGATATAACAGTAATGATAATTCTTCTGTTTTTCTGTTGGGAATTTAATTCTGATGCAGTAGGATTCTTATAAAAATAATTTTGGCATCATATGTATAAGGATATAAGAGGTATGATTTATAGAAGAATCAACTAAGAGAAATGAAATGAATTCTCTGGCAGTTTAAGGGTGATTTCATATCACTGTAATCTTGGGATGCAAGCACATGCCATAATCTGCAGTTGAAAATATTTTCTGTGGTCAGTAATTCTTCTAGATCTTGACTCAGAGTCCACATCTGAACAAGGCTGGAACACATCTTTATATTATATCTTTCTTTTTCTTGCCAGCTCTGCAAGAGTTAGATATTGAAAACCTATGTAACATTTCTGAGATATGTCACTCCAAGAACATTCCTGGATACCTAATGAAATCATGTTATGTGTGTGCACACACAAAAACTCACAGACAGTATTATTTGGAGATTGTCTTTAGTTAATAAATGAGCACATCACTATACTGAACCTGAATAAAATATTGGAGAAATAGAAAGTATGCTTTTGTTACAAAGACTTTAGAGAGTACACACACACACACACACACACACACACACACACACACCCCTAATGAAAAATAAAAAGCAAAAGATAATAATCTTTATAAAATGTACAAACACTGAGATTTTCAGAATAAGGAAGTCTGTGTACTATAAGAAAGAAGGATTAGTGAAGCATAGGCTTCTTAAAATATAAACAAAATTTGGAAGAGAGGAATTTTTAGACAGAGGAGTGTATTCTATGTTCAGTGACTCATGGGAAGGAATAATCAAGATTTCAGTGTTAGGTGATAAGGAAATCGGTTGGCAGGGGCAATTAAAATAAGATAAATAGTAAATGGAAACCAAGTTAAATATATATATATATATATATATATATATATATATATGCTATGATAAATAAAAACCAGGCATTTTACTCAATGGGCAACTCTCCCAAAGGAAAACCAAATATAATTAAGACTAAAGGAATGAAACCTAAAAAAGTAGACAACTTTAAATGTGAATATCCACTGAAA